AAAATATTAATAAAATACACAATAAGGGACACTCCTGTTGATACCTGAACCACAGCTTTGGAGCCACTGACTTCCAGGACCTGCCCACTCCTCCTTGTGCCATCGGGGAGAGTCAGGTGGACGATCTCTGCGTACCTGGGGAACTGAGGGGGAGCAAAACATCAAAACCCCACAGTCCTTTGCCTTCGACAGCCACTTGAGAACAAGCCAGAAGCGTCCAGAGCTTCCTTTCACAGAGCAGTTATTTGGACACAGAAAAGGTCAGGAGCAAAGCAAACAGGTGGATTTCAGTGTTGAAAGTTTAAAACAACACTCTGGGGGTGTTGGTAAAACACTGCTGCCTTTCTTTCCCCAGCAGCCTCAAGGACTCTCCCTTTCCTCCAGGACACAGCACCCCTCCCCAGCCTCAGAGCCACATCCTCAGCAGCCAGAAATGGATTAAAATTGCTCTGAGGACTAAAGAGTTGCCCAACAGTCTGCACTTAACCTGTCCCAGCTCTCCTGGTAAATTCTCCCTTAAGATCCGAGTTTTTACCTTGACTTGATCCAAGATAACCAGGGGGCCGTTCACACCCGAGACAGTCTTATAGGCTGGAAAAAACAAAGCCACAAGTCAGGGGCTTCCTTGGAAACATCCTGTATCAACTTTTCCCAGTTCCATGCTTATCACCAGGCTCAGGTTCGCAGATCTGGGACCCCATTTCTATGGTTGTAATGAAGGATTAGGTGTGTCCAGCCATTCTTGCTGCTCCCTGCAGGATCCAGGGATATAAACCCCCCGGGATCCAAGGATATCCACCCCCCAGGACCGAGCTGGACCCCAGCACCGCCTGACCCACAGACACAAGAAATGTTGAGTCAAAGCTCTGTGAGGGTCACGAGGTGCAGTGACCACAAGTGTGACAGTTCCTCACTGCTCCTGGGAGAGGGAAGTGAGCCACTGGAAGACAGCAGCAGGATCAGAGATTCCAGCAGCTCCAGGGAAGCATCCAGGGCCTCCCCAGCCTGGCAGCTGCCCAGGCAGTGTGTGCACCATCAACACGGCGCTGTTTGCAGTGCAATAAAACACCCTGAACTGTTGCAATGTAACATCTTAACGGGCAACAATCAAACAGAGGGGAGCTCAGGGCGGGAGCTGAGCCAGGGACTGAACTCCAGTTCCTCGCTTTTACTCCTAAAAATCCTCCTGAGCATCCAGAGACAGAACACACGCCCCTTAATTAACTTAATGAGAAGCAGCTGAGCTGCTCCTGCCACCTGAGCAGGGAGGCACCACCCAGACACCATCCAGGAGGGCTCTGCTCACAATCCCAGGCCTTGCAGCTCACAAGGCACGGAAAACATGACCCTGAGCGGAGCATTTCATCCCATGACTGCCTCATGAGCTCTGCTTCCTCAATCCGCCCCTCACCCCCTGCTCTGCCCACGAGGAAACACTGCCCTGGCACCCAGCAGGACCACCCAGCACCAACCCCCCAGGAAAGCAGCTCAACCCCCGCTGGAAATTCCCCTTTCCATCCTGAGCAACCAGTTCCACGGTGAACCAAAGGCAAGCTGGAATCTTCTCCATACCCTGCTGGATGTCAGCTCAGGCCATGGCCAGAATACACATGGAAAAACCTGGACTGGACATGGAGTCACCTCGGCTCCACCCTGGACAGGAGCTTCCAAAGCCTTGGAATCGCAACGATCCCTTTGGCTTCCCCACCTGCGTGACTTTTCCAGGGGATCCATCACCGAGGAGCTCCCGGGCACCCCCCTGCAGGTCCTGGTGCCACTCAGGGCACAGGCGGAGTCACTGCCAGGAAAAACAGCCCCTTCCCACAGCCCCGCCACGGAGCGATTTTCACGAGGTTCCCGCATTTCCCCTTTTTTCACCAGATTTCTCAACCCAGCGTTGAAGGAGCAGCCCTGCCGCCCCGCACCATCCACAGCCGCTTCCCGCCCCCGCTGCCAGCGCCGGGATCCCGGGAAGGGCCGGGAGCGGATCCCCGGGAGCCCCGTCTGGGGCAGGACCCCCGTCCGGCCGCGGGGATCAATTAACACCGATTAACATCCCCACCGCAGCCGGACCCCGGCCCGCCGCCCTCCGGGAAGGCTCCGGGAACCCCCGGACCGCTCTGAAGGGCCCGGGCCCGGTCGCGGGCAGCGGCCTGAGGGGCGCGGGGCTGCGCGGCCGCCGAGGGGGGCCCCCCCTAACCCCGCGCCCCCCCGCGGTGTCCCGGCGCCCCCGCACTCACTGAGGCGCGGCTGCGACAGGAAATCCCGGGTGAGGGCCGCCGCCTGCTCGCGGGGCCCGCCGGGCCCGGCGCCGTTCACGGCCCCGCGCAGCGCCCGCACCGCCGCCATCTTGGACCCGCACCGCGGCGCCGCGACTGCGCACGCGCGTTATAGCGCGGGGCGGGACACGCCCACCGCGGGACACGCCCACTGACACAGGCCACGCCCACGGACACAGACCACGCCCATTGACACAGGCCACGCCCACGGGAGCTGACCGGGGTACTGGGGGGGGAATGGGAATGGGAATGGGAAGAGAAAAGGGAAGAGAAAAGGGAAGAAAAGAGAAGAAAAGAAACGAGGAAAAGAAAGAAAAGAAAAGAAAAGAAAAGAAAAGAAAAGAAAAGAAAAGAAAAGAAAAGAAAAGAAAAGAAAAGAAAAGAAAAGAAAAGAAAAGAAAAGAAAAGAAAAGAAAAGAAAAGAAAAGAAAAGAAAAGAAAAGAAAAGAAAAGAAAAGAAAAGAAAAGAAAAGAAAAGAAAAGAAAAGAAAAGAAAAGAAAAGAAAAGAAAAGAAAAGAAAAGAAAAGAAAAGAGAGAAAAAGGAAGGAAAAGAGAAAAAGATGAAGGGAAAAGGAAAAAAGGGGAAGGGAAAGGGAAAGGGAAAGAGAAAAAGGAAGGAAAAGAGAAAAAGATTAAGGGAGAAGGAAAAAAGGGGAAGGGAAAGGGAAAGGGAAAAGAGAAAAAGGAAGGAAAAGAGAAAAAGATGAAGGGAAAAGGAAAAAAGGAAAAGGAAAAGGAAAAGGAAAAGGAAAAGGAAAAGGAAAAGGAAAAGGAAAAGGAAAAGGAAAAGGAAAAGGAAAAGGAAAAGGAAAAGGAAAAGGAGGTCTCCACACGCCCTCATCAGCTGAGGAGCCTGTGGCTCCTCTCCCAGGCAGCCCCAGCCCGGCAGTTCTGGGCTCCCTCAGCAGATGGTGGTGCTGCACTGCTCATCCTCTGCCTCCTCTCCAGGCGCTGGGAAAGTCATTGCCAGGCCCAGGCATTCAGTTCTGCGCTCATGAAATATATTTAAAGGCTTCAGCTCCTGCTCTAATGCTCACCCAGGGAATTTCTGGGCAGGTTGTTCTCATCTCACCTCCTTGGCAATGGTTTTGGGCCAGGCAGGAGCAGACAAACGGCCTCAGTGACAGATTTACGTGCCAAGGGAGGGAAGGTGAAGATGTTTGGGATTTATTTCCTCCCCCTGCCGTAAATCTCCGTGTCCTGAACGAACGATGGCATCACTTTTGGGGTTTAAGAAAGAAATCACGGGTTCAAAGTGTCAAAAGTTTAAGGAAACAGAAATGATGGAAGAAAAGAGATCTCGCTGTGAGTGGCCTTTGCAGCACCTCCCCCGTGCCTGGAGATGGTTTTCCAGCCAGCTTTGCCTGGTTAATCCAAGAAATATCTCCTTGTCCCTGCAGGGAGAACAGGCAGAGGCCGTGGGGAGGCAGAATCCCATGGGAGGAGGGACCACAACGAGCTGAACATCCCCCAGAGCTGTGGAAAACCCCAGCTCCAGGCAGGAGTTTGGGTGCCTGGGGCCAGCCCGGGGTTGGATAAGAGCTGGGGACAAACACTCCTGGCTCCCTCCCACCCCCAGCCCCCCGCCCTGCCCTGCTGACGCAGAGCAGAGCCAGCTGCAGGGCTCGGGGAGACCTGTTTGAGGTTCCAATTAGATCTCCATGGGCCAGGGACACTCATATCCTCTCCTGATAAAGAGGGAACCATAAATCCAGGGAGGATCCATCCACCAAGGCAGCGGCTCCGGCTCCGATGGCTGGCAGGGTAAGGGACCATTTTCCTCTGCTCCTCACGCCGGGTTTGCAGGGAGAGGGGACAGGGGTTGTGCTGGAGGTGTTAACCTACATGTCTCTGTTGCCTCTGCTCCCTTACCCTTCCTCTCTCTTGCATTTATTTATCCCCATGTTCCTCTCTCGTGTTAATTCTGTTATTTGGTGTTTATTTGGTGTTTATTTGGTGTTTCCTGGGAGAACCAGCCCCGTTTCCCCAGCTCCGTGGCACTCACACTTGGCGATAAAACATTTGGAGTGTTTGCTTTTTAAAATTAAAAAACCGACACCCATCACTGCCTGGGATTTCAGGAAACCACGGGGCTATTGGGAAGAGGGATAGTTGGGGCTCAGCTCCATTGATTTTGCCCCTCAGTTCTCAGCATTAATGGTTAATTGGTCGGCTTAATGCAAATTTCCTGATGGGTGTTTTTGGCGTGAGCGATGTCCCCTCAGCCCTGATCTCCCTCACGTACATCGAGGCTTTGAAGTCCTGGATCTCGCCCTGACATTTCAATTAGGTCAAATAAAAAGACATGGAAGGTAAATGAATTTCCTTTGAGGCCGAATTTAATCTCCGAAGAGCAAACACGGAATAAAAGATGTCGAGATCACCTCAGATAAGCTGGAGGCTTGATCTGTGCCTGGAGTCTTTGGGAGGAGACCGAAACGATGCCTTGGAGCAGGTACAAGACGTCTCAGGAGAGGGGGAACGGTTGGAGAACGCTCCAGCTGCGAATTTAAAAGCCAGGCTGATGAAAGCACGGGCTTTGAGGGCGAAGCTGGTGGTCCCAGCTCCTGGGGAAAGCACACAGGCTCTGGGAATGGCACCCAGCTCCTGGGGGCACATCAGTGCCCGGGAGCTGTGGGAGGTGTAACCCGGAGTGTTCTCTTTACAGGTGATCAGAGCCCCTCAGCCCTGAGCCCAGGAGCCCCCCCAGAGCCCCGGCCATGCCCCTGGCTGTGCCCCCGGACCCCCAGCACCCCCCCCGGGGCTGGCTGGCCCAGGGCAGGGGGTCCCCCAGGCTGGTGCTGGTGGTGGTGTTCGTGGCACTGCTGCTGGACAACATGCTGCTGACCGTCGTGGGTATGGGGGCTCCGGGGGGGCTGCCCTGGGGGCACAGGGAGGGGCTGGGTCCTTGGGGGGCTGTCTTGGGGTCTTTGCTCCTCCATCAACCTCTGGGTGATGCCAGCAGTGGTCCCTGCTCAGGGCTGGGTGCTGGGAGCTCAGCTGGGCCCCGTGAGGAGCCAGGACACAAAGGGAAATCCCCAGCTGATCCCTTCCCCGGCTCCCCTCGCAGTGCCCATCGTCCCCACCTTCCTCTACGCCACGGAGTACGAAGGCGCCAACAGCTCCGTGGCCACGGCCCAGCCCGAGCCAGCTCCTCCAGCCTCGAAGGCTCCTCCTTTCTCCTCCCTCTTCTCCTACTTTGACAACACCACGGTGTCTGTGAGGGGCTCTGACAGCCCCCCGGGGGTGCCCAGTGGGACGGAGAGCGGCCCCCCAGCACAGCCCCCCAGCAGCCCCCCAGCACCCCCGGGGGGCTGCCCGGAGGGGGATGAGTTCCTGACCAGGGAGAACGTCCGTGTGGGGCTGCTCTTCGCTTCCAAGGCTCTGGTCCAGCTGCTGGTCAACCCCTCCGTGGGCCTCCTGACCAACAGGTAGGTCACAGAGCGGGGTTTGTGGCCCCTCGGGGACAGGCTGGAATCCCCACGGGCTGAGCTGCTGCAATCACGGGATTAGAGGAAGTGGGGAGGACACATCCACGAAAAGATGCATGAATTGTCCATTTTCTAAAAGCCTGCACGTGCCTTGTGAGTTTATATCACTATCCAGACCTCACTAATGCTCTCCTCAGGTGCTGGCAGATGCTGTTTAATGACAGCAAGCACCAAGCAAACAAACACAGCCTCCCAGCCCAACAGGGGTGTAGTGTTGTTTTCAGATCCCCTGCAGACACGTGTGGGCTCAGCCCCATGGGGAGAGCAGAGCCGTGTCTTTGGGTGGGCCTTGCAGGGGGGCACTGGGTGCTCCCCTGACCAGCCCCTGGGGGCTCATCCACCCCTTCAGGAGACGCTTGCCAGCCCACAGAGTGTTAAGGCTGGGCAGTGAGATGCCTCTTTTGTTCCCTTTCCAGGATAGGATACCACATCCCCATGTTCGTGGGGTTCTCCATCATGTTCCTCTCCACAGTCAGTGAGTATTGCCCTTCCCTCTGCCCTTCCCTGGCACCAGGAGATCCTTTGGGCTGTGCCCTCCCCGCTGTCCCCGTGGAGGGGAAAGGAGGGAGAGCAGAGTAACCCAGAAAGGAGTGACAAGAAAGGACCCCTTTGCCCCCTCCAGTGCCCAAAGTGGTGCCAGCTGAGGGCACTCTCACCCTCTGCAGGGTGTCCAGGCCCAGCCTGATGCAGCTCTCCCCTCTCCCTGCAGTGTTTGCTTTCTCAGGCACCTACACCCTGCTGTTCATCGCCCGGGCCCTCCAAGGCGTGGGCTCCTCCTTCTCGTCAGTGGCAGGTGAATGTTTTGCCTTTGTCCCCGTGTCAGCTCCCCCTGTCTGGGTTCAGTTGTCACCCTTCTCCTCCTCCTGGCTGGGCCTGCCTGGCTGGTGCAAACGGGGCACCCCCAGAGAGGAGCCCACCCCAATGGAGCCACATGTCCTCTGCTCTCTCCCCATTCCAGGGCTGGGAATGCTGGCCAGCGTGTACACAGATGACTGGGAGAGGGGCAGAGCCATGGGGATCGCCCTGGGAGGCCTGGCCTTGGGCGTGCTGAGTAAGGACCCCTCGCTCCCAGTGGGATTTAGGACAGCACCTCCATCACCCGTGGCTTCCACACACCTGGACGTGCCCCTTCCCCATCCCACGGGCTCGGCTGGATGTTCTGCTCCCTCCCCCTGCCCTCCCTCCGTGGGATCTGGCACCTTCCAACCACACTGCCACCCCAGACACCCAGCAGGGCCTCGCAGGGGGCAGCTGGGGACGGTGGCACTGCCCTGCTGTGACACAGCCTTTCCCTCGCAGTCGGGGCGCCCTTTGGGAGCGTCATGTATGAATTCGCGGGGAAATCGTCCCCCTTCCTGGTCCTGGCACTCCTCGCCCTCTTGGATGGAGGTGAGCAGCCAAATGGTTTAATTCTCCCCTAAAAAAAAAAAAACCCAAGATGTGAAAAGGTTTCAGTGTGGGTGTTTCGGGGAGGATCTGAGAGAAGGAAGAACATGAACACAGGACCATCAGCACTGGTTGCTCTGTTAGTGCTAAACCCCATGTTTTCTATCTCCAGATGATTGACACAGCAATGTGGAAGAATTAACCCCTCATTTCTTAATGAACCCCCCCATTGCTTTCATGGCTTGAAAGGCACGTTCAGCAAAGCTCTTTGAACTGTGAGTTCTTTGGCAAGGCTTTCCTGTCTGCAGCCTCTTCGTGCCACGAAGGAATCAGACTTTGCCAGCATAAACGGTGTCCTGTGCTTCCTCCCATCGCTGTGTCAGAGATAAAGAGCCTTCCCAGTGCCACAGCAAAGTCACAGGCAGCAGGAATGTGCCTTTTCTGTGGGAAGTGTTCAGCTAATTAAATTACAGTCCCAGTTACCATCTTTGCCCAGATGTAAGGCGAGATATCTGTAATGAAGCGTGAAAGAGCTTTTGAAAAACGAAACGTAGGCCTCATACGTATCAAACTTTATGGTTTAATCCCATTCTTTCCGACATCCAATTCCTGTCATGCTCTGCTGGCCTCTCCCAGCTGGCAGCCAGACGAGTGCATTTGCACTTGTGACGGTTCAGGGGTTGCCAAAACCCTTCCAACTCCCTCCACTCCAGGCAGGTTTGGTGCTCCCTCCCACCTCCTGCCCCACACAGTCCCTGCATCCCCGGGGGTTCTGCTGGGGGAAGGGGTGGAGCTGAGGGCAAAGGCAGAGGGGCAGGGGGACTGAGGGGGTGCTGGCTGCAGGAACCAGCTGTGACAGCAGTGCTCTCTCCCCAGCCCTGCAGCTGTGCATCCTGCAGCCCTCCCGCGTCTGCCCGGAGGTGAGTACAGCCCTGGGCACGCCTGAGCGCTGCCAGGGTGGGGCAGGGGGCAGTGCCAGGGCCCAGGTGAGGGCACACACAGCCCCCCAGCCCACATAACCCCCTGGGCACCCCGCAGAGCACCAAGGCCACCCCGATGTCCACCCTGCTGCGAGACCCCTACATCCTGGTGGCTGCAGGTAAAGGTGCAGGCTGGCACACGTTGTGCTCCCCTGAGTAAAGATTCCCTGCTTGAAAGAGCAGCAAGAAGTAAAGGCTCAGATGGAGCACTTCCCCCTTTTTCTCCCCGCCAGGAGCCCTCTGCTTCTCCAACATGGGGGTGGCCATGCTGGAGCCCACCCTGCCCATCTGGATGATGCAAACCATGTGCTCCCCGCAGTGGCAGCTCGGTAGGTCTCGTGCTCTGCAGCCTCCACTCCTGAGCCTGACAGAGTTTAGAATCACAGGATCACCTGGGAAGGACCCCCGAGGTCACCGAGTCCAACCTGTGACCCGCCCTGTCAACCAGACCAGAGCACCGAGTGCCACGCCCAGCTTTTTTCTTGGACACCTCCAAGGATCAAGAACCACGTCCTGCTTGGGCACTGCGAGCTGGATTGAAACATCTCTTATATCATTCCAAAAAAAAAAAGAAGGAAACATACGACCTCACACGGAGGGGCCCAGTGATCCCAGGCTGTGCTTCGCTCCAGCTCCAGCTGGAGATTCCTCAGCGGCGGCTGCACAATGTGCTTTGCTCTGTTATTGGGAAAATTGCATGGAATCAGGCTCCCCACAGGAGCAGTAACGGGGAGGAGAGGCTGTTTGGGAAGCCCATCTTCTGCAGGGCTGATAATGGGCTCGTGCTGGGCGGCAGTGGTGGAGGCCAGATGGGCTTTGCAGGGGCTGCTCGCAGTGAAACGAGGCCGCTCAGGGCGTCCCAGGCAGGGCAGGGCAGGGCCTGCTGCTCACCAGCTGCCTGGAAAATGGGATGTGGAGATAACACCGCCTGTGTGTGCTGCAGAAACCCAAACTAATGGCTCTAAAACCCAATTGGTGGAGGAATGACCCCGGGGGTGCCCCGGGCTGCACTTACATCCCAAATTGGATTGTAGGCTGGGAGCAGGGGGGGGTGAGATTGCTCCTGATCGAATTATCCTCTGGGCAGGCAGGAACATCCATCCAGTAAAAGCACATGATGCTTCTTTTGAGCAAGGATGGGTGAGGGGAGAGCAGCACCCAAAGATTCTGGCAGTGGGAAGAAGGGGCAGAACTCAGGGAAAAAGAACTCAGGGCTGCCCCGTCACCACTGAGCCCCAGGGGAACGTTTGAGGTGACTTAAAAGTACCCAGAGGTCAGCAGACAGCAAAGAAAATCCCAAATACATCCCCTAAAAGGATGTTCAGGTACCTGAGATTTGAGAGCAGTTTGGATTTAGACACAGTTCAACAACAAACCACCAGCTCATGAGCTGTTCTGAACACAGAAGGCTTCTCTATTTGTCTTCCTTCAGTTCACCCACTCACTCCCATAACTCTGGGAAAACAACCCAGAAGAGCTTGGACTAAACCTGCAGGATTAACCATGTTCTGTAGCTGTTAGAAAGGGGAAAGAAAATTAAACACAAATCAGTGTGTTCCAATAAGGAAGTTGTCCCAGGGAAATGGAGCTGATCAGTTTTATTTATAGTCAGCAGGAGAGTATATGAAAAATAAACAACTGGTAAAGCAGCAGGCAGAGCAAATATTTAATTTTGAGCTCCATAATGATCCCTGAGCTTTTTACTTAAGCGGTTGTTTTATTCCTCTTTATTTAGCAAATGAAAAGCAGAAGGCAAAGGGGGAAAGGTGGAGGGGGAGAAACTATCACAGGAGGATGTTCAGGTGCCTTGCCTGGCTCGTGACATTCTCCCAGTGAGGCAGTGAGGGACTGAGAATTGTGCAAATGCCCTGTATTTCCTCGGGGATGACGCACTCTCTTTGATTCCTTCCCTCTCCCAGGGATGGCGTTCCTCCCTGCCAGCATCTCCTACCTCATCGGCACCAACCTCTTCGGGGTCCTGGCCAGCAGGATGGGGCGGTGAGTGGGACACCGGAGATCTGGGCTCAGCCCAGCCCACGCTGGTGATCTCAGCACGGATCACAGCTCGTGGTGCTGGGCAGGCTGAGAACTCCTGCCCTCTTGCCCACTGCAGGTGGCTGTGCTCCATGGTCGGGATGGCTGTGGTGGGAGTCAGCCTCCTCTGTGTGAGTACCAGAGGGGGAATCCAAATTCTCTCCGTAGGACAAGCGGCAGGGACTGAGCTGGGCTCCGGCCCTGGCACGGCTCATGGGCAGTGGTGTTGGTTTTGAAGGTCTGAGAAAGCTTTTGCAGATCTTAAGGCTGAGAGAACTGGGACTGTTGAGCCTGGAAGAGGCTTCGGGGTGACCAAATTGTGCCTGAAGGAGCTGAAAGGAAAGATGGGAGAGACTCTTTACAAGGGCCAGGACGAGGGGGAATGGCTTCCCACTGACTGAGGAGGTTCAGGTTAGAGAGTAGGAAGAAGTTCTGCCCTGGGAGGGTGGGGAGGCCCTGAGAGGTTGCCCAGAGATGCTGTGGCTGCCCCATCCCTGGAAGTGTCCAAGGCCAGGTTGGAGCAAGCTGGGCTAGTGGAAGGTGTCCCTGCCCATGGCAGGGGGTAGGACTGGATGAGCTTTAAGGTCCCCCCCAACCCAAACCATTCCATGATTCCCTGATCTACTCCATGTCTCTCCTCTCAAAGGTACCTCTGGCCACCAACATTTATGGGCTGATCGGCCCCAACGCTGGGCTGGGCTTTGCCATAGGTAAGCTGGGGGCTGCTCAGGCTGCTCCAGGGCTCTCTCCCTGGGAGCAGCAGTGCCTGACCAGCCCCTCCTTGCTCCGGGCAGGAATGGTGGACTCCTCCATGATGCCCATCATGGGTTACCTGGTGGACCTGCGCCACACCTCCGTCTACGGCACCGTCTACGCCATCGCTGACGTGGCCTTTTGCATGGGCTTTGCCATTGGTAGATGCTCTTCTTTTATGTTTCCAAACTGGACAAACCTCCCTCTCTCTGGGATTCTTATCCCTTTTCAATGTTTCAACCTGCAGGTCCCTCCACGGGCGGGGCGATTGTCGGAGCCCTCGGCTTCCCCTGGCTGATGGTCATCATTGGAGTGACCAACCTGGCCTACGCCCCGCTCTGCCTGTGCCTGCGCAGCCCCCCCGCCAAGGAGGAGAAGATGGTCAGTTTAGGGGGGTTTTATTGGAGTAGAGGGGGTTCACAAGCCAGAGATTTGGGGGAGATAAGAATAAATTTCCTGGGGATTGCGTCTTCTGGTTTGGGTGCCGCTCTGCCCTCAAAAAGGGACAAAAATCTCAGATAAAGCCAGGTGAGTTTAGGGGGTCCTTCCCTTAACTGGCAGCTTGTGTTCCCTGGGGAGAAGTTGGTGACTCCTGTGAAGTGTTCAAATTAATCGCCGTTTTTACCAAAGCAGGATTTCTCCTCTCCTCCACCCAGGCAATCCTGAGCCAGGAGTGCCCCATGAAACCCAAAAGCTACACCGGGCAGAAATCCCTGCGGGAATTCCCTCTCTCGGAGGACAGCGACGTGGAGGCAGAGAACACGGAATAGCCGGTGCAAGGATGTGTGTGCCCTGCTTTAAACCCAACATTAGGGTTCCAAGCACAGATCCAGAACAGCATTGTCCCAGGCACGGCCTGAGGAGAACACCAACATCTCTCGCAGTGTCCTGGGGCTTTGCGAATGTCTTTAAAGCACTGACTGTTCCTGAAAGAAAATGGAGGGGGAAAAAAACCAAAATGAAATCAGCTCTGGGAGATTTCCTTCTCCAGATCCTGCTCTAAACCCCCAGCATGAAGCTGTTCTGTAACAACAGGGCACCATCCATCTGTGCCACCGCCAGTGAAGATGTCACTGTAATGTCACCGCTCCTCCCTCCTCTGGAGACACTAAAAAAACCCCAATAATTTCTTTTTTTTTGCTGCAGCTTGACGCGTCGTGCTGTTTCCGTGCTGCTCGGAGCTGCCTGTGTGCCCTTCCTAACGTACATTAAACGAATCCGTTTGTTTGGAGAAAAGAAACTGAGGCGGAAATAAGGTTTAGCCTCCTATGACCAAAAAAAAAAAAAAAAAAAAAAAGCCACTCAGGTCGCTCGTGATTAATGTTATTTTAATATATATATATATGTACACACACACACCCCCCCGGCTCCTGAGGGGCCGCCATTCCAGGGCCCGCCCTCCCTTCCCGCCGTCACGTCCCGTTCCGGTAATGGCGGCGCCCTGACCGTGTGGGCCGGCCCCGCTGCCCCCGTCCCTGGCGCCGCCGCTGCCGCCGCTCCTTCACTGTCACCGCCTTCGCTGTCACCGCCTTCGCTGTCGCCTCCACCGCCACCGCCACCGCCACCGCCACCATGCACTCGGACGATGTGAGCCCGCCCGCCCCTCCGCTTTGGTCCGGCCGCCCCACGTGGCCGGGGGAGCGGGGTGTCCCCTGTTCCCCACACCGGGGGCGGCAGAGGGGCGAGAGGGAGGGATGCACATGGGGGGTTCGCCAGCAGCGGGTGTGCTGTGCCCGCGCCTCTTGCGGCTCCGCACCCTCCCCTGCCGCTGGGGCGCCCGGTGTTTGTGGGGTTCCCCCTGAGAGAGAGCCGCAGCGGGGATGCCGGAGCCGGGAGGAGGGCCGGGTGAGGGGTGCCGCGGTGTGTCACCCGCTGTTTGTCCCCGCAGGTTGTCTGGAGCATGCTGGGGAACAGGCAGTTCTGCTCCTACAAGATGACGTGAGTTTTTTTTGGGGGGGGCACAGGGTGGGGGAAGCTGTGGGAGGGAGCCTCAGACCTCGGCATGTCCCCCCTGTGCCACCAGGCATGAGGGTCCCAGAGGCTGCGAGGGGCAGGTGGGCAGTGGGGTCTTCCTGCCCTTCCCTACTTAATTCATTCCCTCTCGCCCCCTCTTCCAGCACCAAAACGCAGAACTTCTGTCGCAACGAGTACAACCTGACGGGGCTGTGCAACCGCTCCTCCTGCCCGCTGGCCAACAGCCAGTACGCCACCATCCGCGAGGAGAAAGGTGGGATCCCCTCTCCTGGGACGCCAGGAGGGATTTCTGCCTGGAAAGGGTGGCCAGGCATTGGAAGGGGCTGCCCAGGGGGATGGTGGAGTCCCCACCCCTGGAGGTGTCCAAGGGAGGACTGGACGTGGCACTCGGTGCTCTGGGCTGGTGACGAGGTGGGGATGGGGCACAGGGTGGGCTCATCCTTCCAGCCTGGATGTTCCTGTGCTCTGGCAGCCGCAGTGAGCCCGTGGGTGGGGAGGGGGTGAGGGGCCTGAGGACACTGGGATGTGCTCAGTGGGATCGTGTTCCCTGTCCCCAGGTCGGTGTTACCTGTACATGAAGACGATCGAGCGGGCGGCGTTTCCCCGGCGCCTCTGGGAGCGGGTGAGCTCAGGGCAGCAGAGGGGTGACAGAGGGGGCTCTGATGGCCTTCACTGAGGGGGCAGGGAGGGTGTCCCCACAACGAGAGGACACGGCCTCAAGCTGTGCCAGGGGAGGTTCAGGTTGGACATCAGGAGGAATTTCTTCCTGGAAAGAGCTGTTAAACACTGGAAGTGCCAAGGTGGGGATTGGGCACAGGTCGGACTCTGGGAGGCCTTTTCCAACCTCAGTGATTCTGGGAGCGATGTGACTGCTCCCAGATGTCCCTGCTGTGTAACTCAGCTCTTCCCCTGTCCCCCCCAGGTCCTGCTAAACAAGAACTACGAGAAGGCTCTGGAGCAGATCGATGAGAACCTCATCTACTGGCCACGGTTCATCCGGCACAAGTGCAAGCAGAGGTTCACCAAGATCACGCAGTACCTGATCCGCATCCGCAAGCTGACCCTCAAGAGACAGTAAGGGACACCCCCAGTGGGCACTGGTGCCCCCCAGGACGCTTGCACAAGTTGCAGCCACGTTTCTAACGTGGGTGGCTCCCCAGAGGGTGACAGATTCCCACCTGCCTGTTGTTCCCTGCAGGAGGAAGCTCGTCCCGCTGCGCAGGAAGATTGAGAGGCGGGAGAAGAGGCGAGAGGTAACAACGCTCCTTCTGTCCCTTCTTGTCCCTGCTCCTGTGCCTCAGCCTGACACAGCTCATATCTCTCTCTCTCTCTCTCTCCATTAGGAAAAAGCCCTGATTGCTGCTCAGCTGGATAATGCCATCGAGAAGGAACTGCTGGAGAGGCTGAAGCAGGACACAGTAAGGATCCCTCTGGGAGCACATTTGAGTTTGATGCTGCCTGTGTGCAGGGTTTCAAAGTGTGCCCTCCTCCTGTGACTTACACAAAATCCACTTCTTTTTTCCAGTATGGAGACATTTACAACTTCCCCATCCACGCCTTTGACAAAGCCCTCCAACAGCAAGAGGCAGAGAGCGAGAGCGAGTCAGATGCAGAGAGGGAAGAGGAGGAGGATGAGGTAAAGCTTGCAGCCGCAGCCACATCACTCCTGCCCTGCCCTGGTGGCTCTTCTGCCATGAGTTATGACCCTGTTGTGCTCAGTCCCAGCTCTGACCCTGGTTTCTTGCAGGACGTGGACACAAGGGAGTTTGTGGAAGCAGAGGACAGTGAGCTCAGTGACTTTGAGGTAGGTGAAACACCAGGTGTAAACTGTCTGGTCATCTCCACCCTTTGGTGTCTCTGGTGATGGGTAAGAGCCAGGAAAATGAGATTTGTGGAAGGTACAGTCAGACTGCAGTGTATCCACTCCACCCCAGCTCCTCTGGTCGGACAGTTGGAGCCAGGGATTACAGAATGGGCTTGGATACACGAGGGGATTTTGGAGAAAGAGGTGGTTTAGTTGCACAGCTTGCTTTGACATCACTCCTGTCACTCAATTCTTTCTCAGGATATGGATAAGTTGGAGACAAGTAGTGAAGAGGAGGAGGAAGTAGAGAAGAAAGCCTCTCACTCCAAATCTAAAGGGAAAACGCCCCTGAAAGGACCAGCCAGGAGAAAACGTCCCTACATTGAAATAGAGTATGAGGAAGAAACAGAGCCAACCACCAAAACAAAAGCAGCCTGAGGCCTCCCTGATTCAATTTTGTACTGACTGACAGGACTCCAGATCTGTCACCAGCTTTCACCACTGTGCAGGACCTTCAGTAACTCGTTTTATACTCCAGATGAAAAACTTCCTCCAAGAAAAGCAGGGTTTCTGTCCCAACCCCAGGCAATGGCAGCAAGTTTGTACAACTGGGTGAAGCACAGTTGTAAGGAAGAAGATCCCCCACCTTCTCTACAGCCACGAGAAGCTCAGCTTGGACTGTGCTCCAGGAAGGAGCCTGGCCTGGGGGGCACTGCTGCTTTGGGCCATGGCTGGAGAGGCCACACGTGGCCCAGGGAGTACACACCTGTATTCTGGGGGACATGGCAGGTATGGGGCCAACAGGTGGGACAAGACAGACAGTAATTTTAAATAAATAAAGCAGTTTTACTGTACAAAATTGGGGTGGGCGCTGCCAGCCCCCTCACGTGCTCTCCTGCACCTTCCTGATGCATTCCCGCACACGGTTCTCCTCACAGCTGCTGTACACCCCCTCCAGCAGCACCTGGAACAAGAACAGTGTCATTCCTGGTGCCTTGGCACTGGAAAAAAAAAATTCCCAGTGGGTTTTATGGCGTTACCAACCCTCCCCCAGCTCTGTTGGGAGAGACCTGCACAGAGCACAGCTCGATACCTGTCGATAGGTATGGAGTCATTTATCAATTATTGCCAGGGTGGGGGGAGATTGATGCTTGAGGAAAGACCTGGGCACCTGCACGCCCCACACCGCCCCTCCTCAGGTGCTGAGTCCCTGACTCACCTTCACCTGCCCTCTGGAGCAGTGGTCCAGCAGGATGAGGCACTGGGTGGCCCTTTGGAGCAGGGCGGCTCTGACGGGCTCCGGCGTCGGGCCCGGGTCCGTGTGGACATCCCAGATCAGCCTCAGCAGGGCTTTGAGGAGCACGGGCAGCCTGCAGGGCATCCTGCCAGGGAGACAGCACCACACCTCATCCCAAACCCTGCCCACGGCCAGTGTGCCAGGAGGGGACAGGCCTGGACACCCTGGGATGGAGTGTCAGGAACGCTGTCACTGCACAGCCTGATCCACAGCACGCTCGCTCCACAGAGATTTCATTTATAGCCAAGCTGATGCTTCCAGAGCAGGCACAAGTTGGATCAAAATGAGGACCTGCCTTAATTTTTGGGCCAGATTTTTTAGCCAAGCAGCAATGCCAGTGACATTTTCCCTGGGACAAATCCTTCCTTAGGATTCCAGGGCCTGTTCCTCAAGCAGCAGTAACTCTGGCCCTTGAAGTGGGAACGCTGAGGGCAGGGTCTGTGCTCAGGCCAGGTTTCTGTGCACAGTGCCCGTCACCCCAGAGCGGTACCTGGGCCAGGCGTGCTCTATGGTGCACTGCAGTGTCTCCAGCATTCCCAGTCTGGCTTCTTCCTCAGGGCCATCAGAGACCTCCAGGTACCCCAGGATGACCCGCTCCAGCCTCTTCAGGTGTCGCACCACCAGGATGCCGAGTCTGCAGGCACAGACACAGCCTGAGAGGGGAGCAGAGCCTGGCATAATGCCCTGTCCCCGTGGCCCCTGTGCGCTCCTGGTGCCTCTCCCATCCCCAGCAAGGGCAGGTGCCCGGGTACAGCCCTCACCTCCTGACGAAGGCGGGCAGGATGCCCACATAGACCCTCCTCAGCGCCAGCCGGTGCTCTCCCTCCATGTGTGTCAGGACCAGCTGCAGCACCTCGTCGCAGGGGGAGCGGGCTCTCCTGGCCCTGCTGCCCTGGTGCCGCTGGGATCGCTCCAGGACGGGCAGCAGGTCCAGCAGGCACAGCAGCACTGCCTGGTTTGGGGAGAGACAGCAGAGATGGGCAATCCTGGTCGTGTTCTCTCCAGAACACCAACCCTCTGACCACCCCCAGCTGCTGCTGCTCCTCTGACAGGCCCAGCTACTCTTATTCCCTGTTGCCACCTGCAGTGGCCTTCTCTTTGCTTTGGTGTTGTCCTGGAATCCCTGGAGTTACTTTGTCTCCAGGCCAGAGGCAGATGAAAACCAAGCTCGGGTGTCCTACCTGGACGAGAGGAGCCTCCCGGGAGTAGAGGTGGTTGTAGAGGGCGTGGAACACCACCTGGGCCCTGTTGAACTGGCACAGATCCGCACCCGGCTGCAACAACACAGGGCAGGGGGTTAGTGCTGGGCACCACGCCCAGCTACAGCCTAAGGAAGGGGCACAGCCCTCCCAAACCCTGGGACACCCTGTGTCAGGGCAGGCTCAGGTTGGAGATCAGGGAAAGGTTCTTCCCCCAGAGGGTGGTTGGCACTGAACAGGCTCCCCAGGGCAGTGGGCACAGCCCCGAGGCTGCCAGAGCTCCAGGAGCGTTTGGACAACGCTCTGAGGGACAGAGTGGGATTGTTGGGGTGTCTGTGCAGGGCCAGGGGTAGGATCAGTGGAGGTCCCTTCCAGCTCAGGGCATTCTGTGATTGACCCTTCCTTTCAAACAACACATAGAGGGATCCGAGGTATCCCCTCCCTCACCACGTTGAGGACGATGTGGTGCAGGCACTGCACTCCCAGGACTTTGTTCTCCTCCTGGAAGTCGTCGGAGATGAGCAGCGAGGGCGGGAGGACCCGCTCCAGGTGAGGGCCCAGCCAGGGCCGGGTGACGTGGGGCAGTGTCCAGCAGAACACGTGTTTGGTGGCAGGGTTGCGCTTCCAGGTGTCCCTGGAGACACAAACACCAGCTCAGGGAACACTGGGAATAACGAGCACTGCTTTCCTGGGCACTGGGACCAGCTGACAGCAAACCCAGACTGATTCCCCCCTAACATCTTCCATTACTGGGTATTTGCAAAGCTCCTGGCCTCTAATCATGTGTTTTATTTATTAATAGATATTATTTGCTTACCCCCTTTATATCTGTATGCAATGCCTGAGCTCAGCTCCCCAAAGGCTTCCAGCATTCCCCAAACAGCCCCGCTCCCTCCCCTCCCTACTCACTTGGTTAACTCCCGTTTCAGGAGCCCCATCACCGCTCCGAACATTCCTTCTTCATCCCCATCCTTCCCCCGCAGGAATTCAGCCACGGACGCGCAGCCCGCGGCCCGGACCAGCCTCTCCAGCAGCTGCCGGGCCACCGCGCGGCTCCTCTCGGTGGTCCAGGGCCGCTCCCCGAGGTGCGTGACAGCGAAGATGTAGATGTGCCCCAGCACACGGCGCAGCGCGGCACCCCCCGCGGGCGGCCCGGCGCGCTCCCGGCTCCCGGCACCCTCCAGCTTCTCCAGCAGGAGCACCAACACGGCGCCCGCCTGCTCCGCCCTCTCCGCCGCCGCGCCGTGCTCCCGGTCCCGCCCGGGGCGCTCCGCTCCGTCCCGCTCCCGGCCCGGCGGGGCCGCGGACTCGCCCAGCGCGGCCGCCAGCTCGCCCAGCGCCGCGGGGCAGCCGGGCCCGAGGAGGAGCCACCGCGGCTCCGCCGACTCCAGCAGCTCCCTGAGGGCTCCGGGGCCAGCGGACAGCGACAGCCGGGCCTGCAGCAGCGCCTGCTCGGCCGAGGGGACCGAAGCGGGCGGCTGCCCGGGAGCCCCCTCCGGCCTCAGGCCGCTGGCATCCATGGCGCGCCCTAAAACCGCGCTAAAGACACATCCCTGCGGGACGCGGAGACCCCCGAGAGACCCTCAGAGAACCCCGAGAGACCCCCAGAGACCCCCGAGAGACCCTCAGAGACTCCTCAGAGACCCTCAGAGACCCCAGCAGCCCGAGCGGTCGCGGAACAACCCGCCTACCGTAAAGACGGTGGGAGGGGGGCGTGGCGCCGCGCGCATAAATTAGCATGGATAATTAGCGGTGGAAAAGCGGCGAGTGAGGGGAGGTGAGGGCGACGAGAGGGGCTGTGAGAGGGCAGATCGGTGGTGCGGGGCGTGCTGAGGCTGTAGGAGGGGAGAACCGGCCAATTTTTTTGTCACCCTGACTTCGAGATGAGTGGCGCGGGGGTAGGACTGGGCGCGGGAAGAAGCACGACCGATCCTTCCGGTTCATGACCATGATGAATGGGATGGACACGCGCCTGCGTGACGTGTGCGCCCTCTGTTACGACATCGCACAGTCCCTTCTGATTGCCGGGGGGGTCCTGACGTCACCGATGACGTCATCTTGTAAACAACCGTGTCAAAAATAGCCGAAATGCTTAAGAATGTGATCTGAAGATTGTGACGTCATCACTGACAAAAGCCCGGTGTGGAGGTGTCAAAAAGTCAGCAGAAACGGGCAAGTTTTGCAGGGCGCTGGGCGGCCCTGATGATGTCACTGGTGATGTCATCATCGTGTAGAGGTGTCAAAAAAACCAGTGGAAACGGGCAAACTGGGGGCCCAGCTTGTGGGCTTGCCTGGTCCCGTGGGGCGGGGTGTCCAGTTTGGGGCCGGTTTAGGCGCTTTGGGGTAATTTCTCACAGCCTCGGAGAGGCTGTGAGAAATTACCCCAAAGCGCCTAAACCGGCCCCAAACTGGGTCACAGCCAGCGCTGTCCCCTCCCACGGGCTGGGGGGGTCTCAGCATCCTCTCCCCCCTTCTTGAGGACCACCCCGAAACACCCCTGTGACACCTGGGGGATCCCAGCATCTTCCCCCGAACCCCTCCGGAATGGCCCCCGCAGCCCAGACCGGCTGGGAAAAAAAAAAAAATAAAAAAATCACCATTTCATAATTTTGGTGTGTTTTTTTTTTTTACACAAAACTGTACATTCCTGGGGATGGGATCAGGTACAAAAATACTCTGTGCAGCGCAGTGTGGGTGGGGGAAAGACATGACACTCCCCCCTCCTGCCCCGTGGGGGGCTCAGCTCCCCACAGGGAAAACGCAAAACCCCAAACAGAGCGACGACCCCAACAGTTAAAAACAGCAGCTGGGAAATTCGGGACGAGCCGTGCGAGCCCGGGGAGGGCAATGCCGTGCGTGTGTGGAGCTGCCATCCCACAATCCCACAATGGATCCCACGGGATGAGCCCAGTTCGCAGCAGGGCAGGCTCACACCAGCTCGTCCAGGAGGGTCCCGATGCCGGCGCGGGGCTGTGCCGGACCAGCCATGGGCTTGTTGCACATGGGGCACACGCAGCGCACCTCCAGCCACTTCACCAGGCACCTGCGGGCACGGACAGGGTGGAATTCCAGCCCTTTGCCGGGGAATTTCCCCTTTCCCGAAGCCCCCACTCACTTCCTGTGGAAGGCGTGCTGGCACGGCAGCACCCCCAGCTCCTCCTTCGCCCTGAAATCCTCCAGGCACACGGCGCAGGTCTGCTGTGGGAGGCGACACCGGTGGGGAGGGCGGGTGTGAACGCGTGGGACCCACCACGGGTGGGGAAATCCCGGGCATTTCCAGCTGGGAGCTCAGCCCAGTCCCCAAACCACCTTCAGGAAGGGGGATTCCCTCCCAGTCCCCAGCCCTGTGGTGCCGCCAAATCCACACATCCCCCGCCAGACATGCCATCCCATCCCAGTCCCAGCACATCCTCACATCACACCCCCATCCCGGCCTCCCCATGTGCTCCTGAGCAGGTGGGAAGCGTCCCCAGCGTTATCCCTGCAATCCCAAATCCCCCCCGAGCCGGCGGCGGCCCCGCTCACCCCGTGCACGTTCAGCCTGCGGGCATCGCCCTTCAAAACCACCTGAGGGACAAGAGGAGGGAGAGGGTTGAGCGCCAGGAAGGATCCTCTGAACGGGGCAGGGCGAGCCCGGGGTTGGTTCTGGGCACGCTGTCCCGTCCCACCGCTTTGGAAGGTGCCCTCCTGGGACGAGCAGCCTCGGGCCCTGCTGTGTGCCCCTCCTGCCCACCCCAAACCCGCCCAGGCCCGTGCAGGGGCGGCCCCTGGGCGTTACCTCCTTGTACCCGAAGCGCTCGCTCTGCGCCTGGTGCCGCAGTTTGCTGCAGAGGGGGAGAGAAAGGCACCGTGAGCGTCACGGCCGAGAACATTCCAGGGCCACACGAAACAGGGTGGGGGGGAACATGCCCTTCCCGGCCGGGATTTGGGGATAAGCAGCTCTGGGGCTGTGTCTGAGCTGCGTGGCCATGGGGCAGGGACGGGCACTGGGGCAGCCACGAGGGATGGCAGCCCCGATTGTTTGCCTTAGGAAGTCGTTCACGGCGCAGGAAGTGCTGGATTTCCAGCCGGCCCCGCCGTGACCTTGGGTCGGGAAAACCGCCCGGCACAGAAAGCCAGCGGGAACGGGGAGGGAAGGGGCAGTTTGCAGCGGAGCTTCTGCTGCCAGCTAGGCACTGAGACGTGCTCCCACAGTCCCAAAAACTTGTGGGGGACACGGGCAGAGCCGGGACAGGAGCCAGGACTGAGCCAGCTGGGAGCGCCAGCAGCTGCCCGGGCTCTGGGGTTAAAAATAGCCCTCCCTGAACAGGCAGCAATGTAAAGACACATCCTCCCTCTCCCGCTCCTTCCCTGCACGACACAATGTGTCCCTCGTGCCGTCCCCTGGAAAACAGGAGCCCCTTCCTGCGCTTCCTGCCCTGCTCTGGCCGCGGGGAACTGCGGGGACCACGATCACGGCGGGGGCTTGTCCCATGTCCTGGGAGGGAACACGGGAAGGGCCCGGGGATCCCCACCCTCTGCCACAGCCCCCGGCTCACCTGATGAAGTAGCAGCAGAAGATGAGGCTGAGCACGAAGACGAAGATGCCGGTGCCGAAAATGACCATGTAGATGTTGAGGGGCAGGTCCTGGAAGGTGATGGGCGGCATCGTGCAGGGCTTACCGGGATAGACCAGCCCCAGGCTGCAGGAGCACCCTGGCAGGGGGAGCAGAACAGTCAGTGCTGGGGGTGGAAAAAGGGGGAAAGGAGGTGAAGGTGAATGTGCTGTGAGAGCAGGGAGAGCCTGGGCTGACTCTGTGCCCTCTGGAGTTTGCAAAGTGGGCCGAAACCAAGGCCAGGACATCGTCCTGCGAGCTGCAATCCTGTGGAATCTGTGAGAGCTCCCCTGGAAGGGCAGCAGCCCCTCAGAGCAGCTCAGCAAGGCACCAGCAGCTGCATTTCCACAGCCACCAAACCCTCCTCCAGCAGCACAAATGCACCCCAGGCACAGTGCAGGCGGCTGGGAGACAAGGAGGCCCCGTGCTTTCATCTCCAGAGGAACACATGGAGGCTGGAAGGGGATTTAGGGAAGGACAGAGGGGAAAAAAAAACCCAACCAGCTTGAAAAACAAGAACAGTTGGTGTCTGTCACTGCTCTGAGGGAGCAGCAGAAGCAAGTGCTGGTTTGTCCTCGGTGCTGGGGACACTGATCCAACCCCCCCTTCCCAGCAAAACCACGGGTGCCAGTCCTGCCCTGATGGCCAGAGCACCACGGGGAGCAGGGACAGGCAGGAGTGGGCGGCAGAAACCCCCGTGTGAGGGGGCACACCCAGGTTTGGGGGGTCTGGTTCCCTCCCTGCTGTGCTGGGGGACAGTGGGACACTGCTGGGGGACAGTGGGACACTGCTGGGGGACAGTGGGACACTTGCCTGGCCAGGGGAGCCCCAGCTGGGCTGAGATCCTGGCCTGGGACTCCGATTCCAGCTGTTCCCAGTGCAGTTTGGATTTTATCCCACTGGTCCCCACCATGCAGCTGGAGCAGCACCAGAGGAGAGCCTGGACTGTAGGAAATGGGCTTTTCCTGCCACAGAGGGCAGAGCCACTTGTAAGGAGCGGAGACAATCCATCCATCACCCACCTCGTGCCCGGGGTGGGAAAGGGAGGATTTGTTTGCTGGGTCCCTCTCTCTCTCCCCCAGCCTCCTGCTCCCGAGACTGCCAGGTGCAGGAAGGACAATAGGAAAGGTTCATTAATTTTTTTGCCGTTTCCTTGCTGGAAATGATTCGAGAAATGCTCCAAAAAAAAATTTAAAAAATCCCAAACCAAACCAAAACAAAGCATATACAGCTCTGAAAAAAAAAACCCACTGAGCAAGGACATGAGGTAATGCTGGTGCACCTGCAGGTGGGACAGGGGGCTGTGGGTGGGTGGAGGAAGCCCCCCGCTCCAGGCTGGGCAGAGGGGGTGGGTTCTGGTAACAATAACGGACCACAGTGAAACAATAACCCTTCCTAGGGGTGTTTCAGGTCATTCCCAGAACCTGCTGAGAAGCACCAGCCCCTGGGCCACACGAGTGGGGACAGAAAGAGTCCCACAGGTAGAGCCTGGAGAGGGGCTGACAACCAGCAGGGGATGGCCTGGACCTGCTGGTGGCCACCAGTGATGAGCTGGAAAAGCCCTGGTCTGGGATAGCAGGAGGGGAATTGGGATGGGAAAACCCTTGTCAGGGATAGCAGGAGGAGAATCAGCTCCCCAGAGAGCAGGGAAAGCTGGGTTTTCCAGGAGCAATTCCCCAAGAGAAGGGGAAGAAGAACCCCGGGAGACACAAACCCTCCCCAGCACATCCCTCTGTGCTCATCTAAGGGGCTCCAAACCCAACCACCACCCCAGCCATCCCTTCCACCCCGTGGGGCAGAAGACACCCGAAATCCCCACAGGGGGACAGACACATCCACGTGGGAAAGCCACCTGGTTGCTGAGAGAGGGGCAGCCAAACCATCGGCGGGCGAAGCCTGAGGTGGAACACGAGACGCTGCAACAGCCTCGGAGCGAGGGAAGCAGAGAGGAGTTGACAAGTCCCTGCCAGCCACAACACAGCTAATTCTGGACTCACCAGCTCAGCAGGGTCATTCCTGTCAAAGGGGCATCCAGGAATTCGTGAGCTGCGGGCTGGGATGCCAAAAAGTGGCCCCAGGGAAGCGCAGCCCATGGGACGGTCCTGCCAGGAGCAGCAGGGTCCCAGCGAGGCTGCTGAGCTCAGCCTCCCCAAAAAGAGAGGCCCTCCCTCCCAACTCTCCCCTCCCACCCCTCCCCAGCACAGCCTGGGGGGGGTGCCCGGGTGGTTTTGATTATCACAAACCCCTCGGCCTGACAAAGGCGCTCGTATTTTTAGTTCAAGGGAAATGGATCAAATCCGGGCTCGAGCGACACGGGATGAAGGGCTGCTGAGCACCAAACCCGTGCCACCAGCTCAGGTCTCCCAGGACCAGAACTCCCAAAGGGCTGGAGCAGTTATTTAGATGGGGTAAAAAAATGAGAAAAGAGGGATTGGTTGACGTGTGTGAAAGTGCCCACAGACACCTGGGGACTTTCTGGGCTCTCCTCCCACACAGAGGATGCCCAGGAAGGGGCTTTGTTCCACCAGCAAAATATTTTTCACACAAACTGCCAAAGCTTTGGCCCTTCAGACGCCACATTTTGGAGCATTTCACAGCTTTTCAAGTCAGGACAGACACAAGTTTCCACCCCAATGGTGCAGGCTCAGGGTTTTTGCTGAGCAGGGCTTCTCCCTCACCCCAATTCTCGTTCAATAAAACAAATGGAAAACTCAGCAGGTCATTAAACGAAACCATTCTTTCTCCTCCCACACAAAGGCCGTGGGCTTTGCATCAGAAAATTGAATGCAGCTTCCATATCATTTTTTTTTTTTTGCTGTGATGCTGCAATGGGTTTCCTGCAAAAGCTGCCCCCAAGCCAAGCAGTGTCCGTGGGGGATAACCAGCTCCCCCCAAGATGATGTCACCTGGACTGCGAAGTGCTGAACCACAGATGAAGCAACAGGAGGAAAAGCCGTGGTGCAAAGGAGGAGCTGCTCGGCCCTCAGGCCGGGAGGGTGTTTTGAACAAACCTATTTAGGCTGAAAATGTGATTTCTTCGGTGGGTCTCAGACTTCTTCCCATCAACAGCCCCAGCTCTGTAAAGGTCCTTAACAGCGCCGGGCCCTGCTGATTTGCTGAATATAACTATATTTTTAGCTTCAAAAAGCTTCAAACCCTTTCATAAATTAAACCAGCCCGGCCTTTTGTTGCTCAGGCAGGGCTTTGATGGTGGAATTCCCAGCGCGGCTTTCTCAACTACTTAGCCGTGAAAACAAAACCACTTCTCGTTCAAACCAAAACCCTCCCTCACATGTGCGAGCTCAGCTCCGGTTCCCGAGAACTTCTTAGGGCCAGCACGGAGCGTGACGAGCCGGGGGGAGGGCTAAAAATAAGTTTATTCCACTTTTGCGGACACGCGAAAAAAGGGGTTGGGGGCTTTTTTTTGGTCGGTTTTTGGAGGTTTTGTTTGTTTGTTTGTTTTTCGTCAGTGCAACCAGCGAAAACGTGGCAAACCCATTTCGCCGCCGGATTTATCCCTGGGAACCGAGCAGGACTCGCGGCTCCGGGAGCAGAGCGGTGGCACCGGGACCCCGGGAGCCCTCGGAGCGGGGTCCGTGCGCCCACCCCGACCCACAGCCCGCATCCCTCCCATCCCGGGCAGGAGGGAGGGCATCGCCCCCTCCCCATCGCCCCCACCGCCGACCCTCCCCATCGCCCCCGCTCTCACCGTGGCACCACTGGAACGGAGGCATCCGGCAGCCGCTCCGCGGGGCAGGGAGGCTCGGCCAGGCCATGGCCGGGAGCGGCCGTGCCCGCAAAACCCCGCCCCGGCCCCGGCAGCCCCGGAGCCGCCCCCGGACCGCCCCCGACGCGCCGGCCCCGCCGGGACACGGGGATGCCACGGGCGGGGGGTCCCCGGGGGACCGGACACGCAAGGGGGTCCCCGCCCTGAGCATCTCATGGGTGTCCCTGAGCATCCCACGGGTGTCCTGAGCATCCCACGGGTGTCCCTGAGCATCCCGGGGTGTCAGCCCTGAGCATCCCACGGCGAGTGTCCCACGGAACAAACCCCGCCCCATCCTCTGGCAGCAGCGCTCCCACGTGGGATCCAGGTGGGAATTATGTGCCTCAAATGTCACCCGGCTGGCGCCCAGCCCGGCCTCGGGCACGGACCAGCCCTTTGGGGGAAGCCCAAACCTCCAGAGCTCCTGGAGGCTCTCAGTCTCAGGTTTGGGGTGTGATAGGCTGGATACTCATGGGAAAGGCTGTCCAGCCCTGGCACAGGGTTAGTGGTGGATCCTCATCCCTGGAGGATCTAACAGAGAGATGTGGCCCTTGGGGACACGGGTTAGTGGTGGCCTTGGCAGTGCTGGGGGATGGTTGGGCTTGATCTTAGAGGTCTTTTCCAACTTAAATGACTTCATGATCAGCGTCTCCCTCCACGCTGAGGCCCCTGCAGGTGGCTGGTGGCCATGGGGCTCCCCTCCCTCAGTGTTTACAGGATCCCAGCACGGGCTCCAGCCGAGGCCGGCGCTGCTCCGGCCGCTCTCCGGAAGCGCAGGAAGAATGGAGCTATAATGGGAGCGGGACACAATGAGTGCTGGGAGCGTGTGGGGCACCCTGGGGCCACCCCAGCCACTCACACACCCGCTCCTGGCCTTGGCCACCCTCCTGGACTCAGCCCAGCTCTCGGGGAAGGGGTTTGTCACAGGCCTGGCTGGAGACCGACGTGGGCACCTCGTGCTGGGTGGAGCCCCTGTGACTGCCAGCCCAGCTCTGCTCCCCACCAGGAGCCCCACTCTGTCCCCACTGCTGCAAAAGAAAAGAGTGGGGATGCCCAGCCCTGTGGGGGCTCAAGTTTGACCCCTGGACTGAGGATCTGGGGAAGAGGAATCAGATCCATCCCAGCCCCGAGCACTCGGGGTGATGCTCTGCCACTGACTCCTGTGACAGGTCCCGGCTGGAGCTGTCCCAAAGCAGAGGGGTGGCCAGGTTTCTCCTTAGCACTGGCTTTATTTTCACGGGGTGACACGAGGCATGGAGAACACCCAGACACAAGGACGAGGGGCCGGTGTGGCTGAGCCCACACACCAGACCTGGTTCACAAGGCTACACACACCGAGAACACACGGGGGACACGACAGGGGACGCAGAGAGCTTCGGTGTCCTGCGAGGGAGGGGCAGGACTGGCTTGGAAAATGCATTTCCAGGAGGGAGAACGAGGCCTGGAGCCCGCAGGGATGGAGTGACCGGTAAGGTGGGGCCGAGTCCCTCTGGAGGCATCTTGGAGCGAGCAGGCTGGGAGGGAGGCTCTGGTTAGGCCTGCCTGGCTGGCAGGATTGCAGGTGGAGGGCACTGGGAATAGCTGGCAGGGCTGGGCACCCCCTGGGCTCGGGTGACCCATGAGCCTGCTCTGAGCTCAGCGGGCAGGAGGTGGGCACTGCTCCCACCACAGCACCCCTCCTCCTCCTCCTCCTCCTCCTCCTTCAGGAGCTCCTCTTCAGCCTCAGGGCATTGTCCAGGGCCACCAGCTGGCGCAGGAAGCCGCGGTTGGGGATGATACCACGGTGGTCCTTGACCGTCTTTATGGCTTCCACGAGGGGCATGTGGTGGCGGATCATGAGGTAGGCGAGGACCAAGGTGGCCGACCTGCTGACCCCGACGGCGCAGTGCACGAGGATCCTCCCTGGCGGGGGGCAAACAGGGGCACTGGGTCACGGCACAGCCCTGGGAGCCGGGACCCAGCCTCCCCCTTGCCACCCCTGCTCCCCACGGCCCCACAGGACCCCCTTCCCCGCTGACCTTCGTTCAGGGCCTGGTGGATGAAGTCGGCGGCGGGGTAGAAGTAGGGGCTCATGTCGAAGGAGGGCGAGTCGTGCGCCTCGATGCCCAGGTAGCGGATCCCGGTGCCCTCGTAGTACTCGGCACCCCCCCTCCACTTGCTGTGGGAGGCGTTGAGCACGTGGGTGATGCGCAGGTGGGCCAGCTCCCGCCGGTTGGAGGCTATATCTCTGCACAGAGCGGGGCAGGGGGCACACGGGGGACGGGTTAGAGCGTTTCACAGTCCCCAAAGGCTGCCCCGCACCAGCATCCCCGCCTGAGGGAGGTGGGCATGGAGGGAGAACACCAGGAGCTGGAGATTCTCGAGTTTTAGGCCAATCTCGCAGCCCCTGACCCCAAACACACACCTTCCCCCCACCACCACAGTAGCAGGATGCAACTTCCTTGGGAGGGGAAGAAGAGGGGCAGGCACTGAGCTCCGGGGACAGGACCCCAGGGAATGGCTGGAGCTGTGTCAGGGCAGGCTCAGGGTGGATCTCAGGGAAAGGTTCTTCCCCCAGAGGGTGGTTGGCACTGAACAGGCTCCCCAGGGCAGTGGGCACAGCCCCAAGGCTGCCAGAGCTCCAGGAGGGTCTGGATGATCCTCTGGGGCACAGGGTGGGACTTTTAGGGATAGTCCCGTGCAGGGCTGAGGGTTGGGCTTGCTGCTCCTTGGGGGTCCCTCCCAGCTCAGGCTATCCTGTGATCCTGTGGACTCTCTTCACAGCCCTGCTGGGAAGCACTTCAAAGTCCTCCTTCCTTTCCTCCGGTGTTCCACACTCACCACACCCTACTCTCCCTCCTTTTCCCAACATTTCCCCTCCCAAGATCCCCCCGTTCCCCCAAAGCCGCCCTGCCCCGTTCCCATACGTACTGGTCTCCCAGGTAGAGCCCTGGCCACACCTCATCGGCGTGGTTGCAGGCCGTCTTGCCCGTGTACAGGAGCCTCTCCAGCTCGAACACGCTGAGGATGGGGTGTCCCCTGCGCTCCTCCCGCGGGGCCCGGCTGGGGGACCTGCTGCTGGCCCTGTAGAACCTGGACAGGAAGGCCATGGGAGCTGCCGAGAGCCACAAGGCATACCTGTGGGGGCGAGGAGGCCGAGCGGGGGCCTGGGGGTCACCTCTGCTGCCGCTGCCACCCACGGTCCTGCCAGGGAGAGCAGGGGAGATGCCGTGAGGAGAACTGGCCCCTCAGTGCCAGAGGGACACCGAGGGGCTGGAGCGTGTCCAGGGAAGGGAACGGAGCTGAGAGAGCTGGGGGGCTCCCAGGGGACAAGGGACAGGAGGAGAGGGAACGGCCTCAAGCTGTGCCAGGGGAGGGGCAGGTTGGACATCAGGAGGAATTTCTCCATGGAAAGGGTGGTCAGGTGTTGGAAGGGGCTGCCCAGGGAGTCCCCAGCCCTGGAGGTGTCCAAGGAAGGACAGGACGTGACACTCAGTGCTCTGGGCTGGGGGACAGGGTGGGGACGGGACACAGGCAGGATTCCATGAGCTGGGAGGGCTCTTCCAGCCCAAACGATCCTGGGATTCTGCGGTGCTGTAAGTGGGGACCTCTCGCTCCGTCCCTTTTGTAGAAACACTGGCCCAGAGCAGCCAGTTCTCACCCTCCCCATGTCAGCTCAGCCACCCACCCAGCCTGAGGCCGAGTGAGCACCCCCTGAGTCCCTCCCAGGGAGGAAAACTGCTGGGGGAGAAGCTGGTGCTGCCAGGGCTGGCGAGGCAGCCGGGCTGAGCCAGGCTGAGCTCTTGCTCCAGCCCCACGGCTTTGGGCTGAGGCCACGTTGGCAGGAGGTGCCGTGCACAGGACCACCTTCCTGCCAGCTCGGGGCTGGTGCTGCCAGAGCCGCGCTCAGTGGGCCAGGAAAGGCAGCCAGGTCTGGGCACAACACCAGGACTGGGGAGGAGAAAGCCCCAGACAGGTGGAGGATTCCATATGGCACCAGGCAGCCTGGCCAGGGCCCAGGCTCCTCCAGAGCCCTCCGGGGAAGGAGAGGAAGGATTAACCCCTCCGTGTACGGCAGTGCTGCTGCTGCAGCTGAACAGCCAGGGCTGGGCTGGGCTGGCAAGAGTTAACTCCAGGGGATGAGAAGGCTCGTTTTACAGAGCAGCTCCTCTAGGACACAACAGCCCTGCTCCCAAGCCTTTGGATGGTCGGGATGTTTGTCACACATCTGCAGGAGCCCTCCCAGTTGGGGAGGTCACACTCCCTGGGCCCAGTGTGGTCAGAGGGGCCTTTTTGTGCTGGCAGTCCCTCCCACGGGAGCCAATTCTCTTTCTCCCCTCACTCCCACCCTGGGGGGTGCCCAAAGAGCCTCCTCTCACACCCCCCAGCCCAGCCCAGCTGTCCCTGGGACTGGAGGGGAACACAACGACCTTGGGCTGCCCAGGCTGGGTCAGAGCCTGTCCCTCTGCTCTGCCGTGCTGCCCGAGGCACCAGCCAGTGGAGCAGAAGGAAGGAGCCTCCAGCCATTTCTTGGCAACGTGCAGAGAAAAGCATTGCAAGGACATGGGCGAGCTCGGAGGGAGCCCAGGGAGACTCCAGGGTGTCTCCCTCCCCACTCCCCATTCCAGGGGGGGCACTTCAGAGCCCCGGGGAGCTGCTCAGGGCAGCTCAGCCCTGCCCAAAGTGCTCATCCCTGGCCCCCCAGCACAGCACACACCCAGATCTCGCCCTGCCCTGATCACGTTTTGGACTCCTCCACGCCAGGAATTCAGACTTGGCAAAGCCCACCTGGGAAGGGCACCGGGCAGGGCCCTCAAACCTTGGGTGACCTTGGCTGCAGCACAGCCAACATGTCACCAGCGCTGAGAGACGAACAGCAGGGGGGTCTGGAAGAGCGACCGAATCACGCAGAGAGCTGGAGATGGAGGAACTGCAGCCCCCCTTCCTGCCACAGCTGGAAAACCAGCAATCCACACCTTTCCCGGGCTGCAGCGCTGGGAACCCCAGGCCCAAAGCTGCTCTCAGCATCCCACCCCCTGCACACCCCCATGCCAGCCCCCCGAGGTGTTAGTGAGGCACTGCCCCTCATCCCAGGGCTGGGAACAGCTCCCCCAGCGCTCAGGGCACCCCAAAATCCCCCCAGGCATGGGGGGCACCCCCTCTGGAAAGAAGGGTCACTCCCTGCTCCCTCTGTGGCAGCTCCAGACCCCCGTGCCAGGCTGGCAGAGGAGTTGCCACCCTGGTTGCACGGCCCCCTGGCACACAGACAGACAGACAGACAGACACACAGACACACAGACCCAGCGGGGAGGGGACGCCCACCCCTCACTCTACCTTGGCGAGGGCTGGGATTCCTTCTGGGAGCGGGGGCAGGATCAGCTCCAGTCGGCCATGTCTCGCCGCTGCCGCCGCCGCTGGAGAGAGAGAGGCTGATGCCTGAACATCTATTTTAAGGCATGACATGTCCAGAGGCAGCTTTGTTTATCTCACGCTGTGCACGGCTGGGCCGGGCAGGCAGGAGGCACGCGGGGCTCGCCCGCTCCGGCACACGCAGGAGCCCATGGTAGCAACACCATCCAGACATCCACAGCCTCCTGCCAGCCCTGCTCTGCCTCCTCCTCCTCCTCCTCCTCCTCCTGCTCCTCCAGCACAGCAACAGCCACGAGCGAGCGGAGAGAAGGGGAAGCAGATGAAGTGCTGCCCGTGCCATGATTCCCCACGATGGGAATCAGTCTCCTCAGCTATTTTACACAGCTGACCTCGTCCTCCCCCCTCTGCCTTTCTCCCCCTGGCCTTTGCACAGAGCCTGGTGATGTTTTATTCATTTGCAAAGAGTATAAACCTTGGGGAGGGTTTTTGTGGCGATGGGAAACAGAATCGTGGCGTGGTTTGGGGCTGGAAGGGACCTCAAGGGTCATCTCATCCCAATGCCTTGCCTGGACAGGGAACAAAGTATTTACAAATTCATGTCAAAGACAGGCAATTTTTATTTTTTTCCCCTGGGGTGGGGGAGGGGGGGAAGGAAACTTGGGAAGATGGAAGGGTTTTGTTTTGACAGCTCCTAAACGGCGCCGTTCATTTCACAAGTGCTGCGATATTTCAGTTAAACATTTCCCAGGCAGAATATGCTCCTCTTCCCCTTTGAAGTGCCGGCTTTCCAGCTGAAAGTTTGACTCAAATCAGAAAGTAGGAGTGTGGTGGGAAAAACAAGCCGAGGAGGCACCGAAAGAAGCTGTTCCAGGCTAAATGACACATTCCGAGATTTCTGGCATCCTCTCCCCCCGCTCCTGTTTGATTGAAACCTGGGAAATCCTCCTGGTTTTCAGCTGAAGTTGTGTTTTTCCCAGGGAACAGTCTCAGAAGCTCCAAGGATGAGCGAGGAGGTCCTGGCTGAGCCAGCAGTGTCTCATGGCCGTGTGATGCTGCCAGCTTGGGAAAAGCTTGTCCTGCCCCTGGAAAAAAAGGGGTTTGACTCCACTTAACCTGCAGAGGGATTGAGCTTTTCACTTCTGCCTGGCCACACTCCTTCAAAAAACAGGCGCTGAGTGACCTGAAAGGAAATTTGTCCTTTCACAGCTCTGTAAGACACCTTTTAATGTGGACAAGCAGCAGCCCCCTCCCTTCCCTGCACCAGGGAATTACATTCCCAGGTGACTGTAAAATGTGCTTCTGAACAGAACTGCCTCCAACCCCCATCACAAAAGGTTAAATCTGAATTTAAAGAAACTACATGAAATAAAATTAGGTGGATAAATGTTTTGGCAGAGCACTGCCTGCAGGGAACTTACTGGTCATTTAAGCAGAGGATTAGTAGTTGTTATGTTTTTGTTCCAATAATAATGCTGGAATTGCTTTGTAAAGCAGCCAGAAGTCCCCAACAAAGCCAGCGACTGCTCCTTAGATAATGAAATTTCGGAGGCTTTGAAATGCCTGGGAAGCTGCATCGAGGAAAAAGTGTCACCAATCTGTCTTTTGATAAGGGAAGTTTCTCAGACACAGAGCAGACCTCTCTGCCTTCACCTCCTCTCCTTGTTTTCCATAAAATCATCGCTGGAGCCCAGCCTGAGCTGCCCCCTGCTCCCTGGCGGGATTTATCAGCTCAGGGTGTTGCTCCTGGAGCTCCTGTCCTTGTGCTCTCAGGGCCTGGAGCTGCTCTGAAGGCTCAGGGTGGCACAAATCCCCCTCGGGATTTGCTGTGACCTTCACACACATCCTCCTCAGCTTCCCACCTCCTCCCTGTCCCCCCCAGCTCACAGTCCTGCCTCTCCCCTGCCCTGCCCCAGCAGAAACCACTCTGAGAACCGAACAGCCAAGGCACAGGGAGGGAATTTAAAAGCCAAACCCACAAAACCTCCCTTTCCTGGCAGCGATTCTCTCCGAGCTGCTCCCCCCGGGAAGCTCCAGGTGCAGGACAGCACACACAGGGCTCCTGCAACCTCATTTTCCCCCAAGCTGCATCCCCGAGCCCGCGGACCGAGCAGGGCCATCTGCTCCTTGGCAGAGACAGATGATGCGGGAGCAGAGCCGCGGGGACAGAGCAGCGGGCTCTGGCTGGCACCTGTAGGGCTGGCTGTTGTGGGATAGCGCCGGCACAGCATCCCCACAGCCCTGCCTGGCAGCCGGCGCTGCCGCTGCCACCCTCGGGGTGTGACGATGTGGGCACAGCAGGGCGGCAGGACCAGCCCCGAGCAGATGCTGCCAGCTCAGTTAGGGACCAAATCCCCTCCTGGCAGCATCAGCGGGACCCCCGCTGCTCCCGGTCCCCCCCACTCCCAGCCCCTCCTAGGCTGGGCTTGGGGTCTGCAAAACCCTCCCCGTGAGCCGAGACGGAGGGCTGTGGGAAAAGTTCACGGATCCAGCCACTGGAGGCTGCTCTGGTTATACATAAATCACCTCTGAGCGCTGCCAGAGACGCGGAAAACGCAACCCGGGGAAGGAAAGGGCGGCCGTGGAGAGTTCCAGAGCTGCCCTTTGCCGGTGATGCTCCCCGTGCATGCGGATGCTCCGCGGTCTGCACAGCCCGGGTTAAGGAGCAGGGATCGGTCCCTTCCCGGAATGCCGCGGGTCCAAAGCCCCCTGGAAGGCACAGGAGCCAGACTTTGTTACGGCCAGCCCTAAACGGAAGGAGGAGATGTTCCATCCAGCATGTGCTGTTCCACAGGCGCTCTGCAGGGGTCTTTTCAGCCCTAACAATTCCGTGCTGGGCTTCGGACGAACGGGAGTTCCTGGAAGTGCCCGGGAGGGACTGCGGGCTCAGCTGAGGGGCAAAAACCCACCGGTCCTGGGGAGGAAAACCACAGAATCATTAAGGTTGGAAAAGATGTCTGAGATCACCAAGTCCAAGCATGAACCCACCACCACGTTCACCACTAAGCCATGATGTCCCCAGGCGCCACATCCACAGGTTTTTTTGGGCACCTCCAGGGGTGGTGACTCCACCACTGCCCTGGGCAGCTTTACAGCTCCCCGTGGCACAGGCTGTGCTGTCACTGCACTGAGGATGAAGCATTGCAGAGGTGGGTTCTCTGCCTCACAGAGCATTTATCCCAAAGGCTCAGGTCGTGTGGTCAGTCAGCCCAGGGCAGGATCGACTTCTTTATCAAAGCAATGATGCAATAAGGACTAATCCTCACTCTTTACTTGCCTACACTTAGGTCAGGCAGAAAGATTTCTTTTGCCCTGCCTAAGCACGGGAAGAAATCCCAAAGCTCAAGGGGCCCACCCTGCCAGGGGCTCTCCCCATGTCCAGCCCACCCTCCCTGTCCTGCTCACCCCCAGCACCTCTGGGACGGTTTTGTGCCCTTCAATCCCCTCCCAGCCCAAAAATAAACATCTGCCTGCCTGTAAGGAGCGTGATGGAGGGCTGGGGACCCTTGGCAGGGAGGATGAGCAGTAACACAACCCCTCTGTGCCCACCCCAGCACAGCCCCAGAGCAGAGCCTTGGCTCCATCGATTCGCTGCTGCAGGGGCCACTTGAGCCCTGGCAGCGCTGAGCTGTTTTCCATTAAAAGAAAGGAAAAGGAGGAGGAAATAGCCGGCACCGGGCTCATTGTCTGACAGCTGTAAAACCCGCAGAGCCTCGATTTGTGCGGGCCCCGGGCAGGGGGAGGGAGAGGGGAGGGAGGGAAGGAGGGAGGGAAGCAGCTGCTTTGCTGCAGGCTCTCGGTGTTTATGGGCACTTGACTCCGAGCTGCTCCTGTCATGCTCTGCCTTGTTCGGGTCAGGAGCAGCCCAGGATACCTTGAAGTTGCTACAGAGCAAAGAGGTTAAAAAAAAAAAAAAAAGAAAAAAAAAATATCAAAGGAAGAAAACCAGCTGGAAATAAACCCCAGAAAGTTGGTGGTAAAATATGCCGTGAAATCCTGATGTTCTCTGTCGAGCTGGTCACTGCAGCTTGTCACAGCCTGTCAGCAGAGCAGCTGGGGCACAGGCCAGGACTTCTCCAGGCTGGTGGGAGGGGTGGTGCTGACCTGGGACTCGTTGTGTTTCAACCCCCATGAAGATGTCAGATCACAGAATCCTTCAGATCATCAGGATCATGGAACATTCGGAGCTGGAAGGGACACACAGGGATCATCCAGTCCAGCTCCTGGCCCTGCACAGACACCCCAACAATCCCACCCTGTCCCTCATAGCGTTGTCTGAACCCTCCTGGAGCTCTGGCAGGTTTGGGGGGCTGTGACCAAACCCTGGGGAGCCTGTTCAGAGCCCAGCCACCCTCTGGGGGAAGAACCTTTCCCTGAGATCCAACCTGAGCCTGCCCTGACACAGCTCCAGCCATTCCCAGGTCCTGTCCCTGCTCACAGAGAGCCAAAGCTCAGCCAGCAGAGCCCGGAGGGCAGAGGGTTGGGAGCAGGGGGTGGGTCCCTGTAACTCTCTCCCCCCACTCTGAGCTGAGCCCTCGTGACACCCCCGGCTGCAGGAGCTCAGGTTCTGCTCTTGGCAAATCCGAACCCCTCTGGGAAATCTGCTTTGGAGGAGAAAGGATTTACAGCTACGTCAGGGTGGAAATTGGGGTCGAGTCCTTGGCAGATTCCCAGTGACTTCATTCAGGGAGGCTGGGACGTGTCTGTGGGGGTTTCCTGGGCCGAGGAGCTCTGCCTGTGGCCACGGACAGGGAGCTGCAGTGCCTTGGAGAGGCCCGTGGCTGCTGCTCCCACAAAGCCTCTCCATTCACCGTGTCCGTGGCTCTGAGAACCCCAGCAGCTCAGCTCTAATTTCTAAAGCAGCAAGAACAGCTTAGGAGCTCAAATATAAAGTCAGAGAGAGTTGGGTGCCTAATTCCATTCAATCTCCTTTCTAATTCCTCGCCTTAGGGCTTTGAGGAAGTGGCTGGTTTGATTCGATGGAGAAAAAAAGCTGCTCCATTAGCAGGTCTGATGTTTGAGAGGTTTCTTTCAGGCTGTGATGAAGCCCAGCACCCTCCATCAGGCTGTTCTTGCTGCTAGATCCTATTTTCCCTTCAGTGACATTATGTCTTAAACAGGCTTTCACTGTAATAACATTTGCAGTAATGAAATCACCCGGCTGGGCCGCTCCTTTTAACAGCGAAAATATCTGAGCTGGCTACAAAGGGAGATTTAAATGTCACAGAGAATGTGC